TTGGTGGAGAGTTATGTGGAGTTCACGTTCTTCAGTAATTTCAAATATTTTTCTAGTGAAAAAAATAAGTTTAACAATTTAAATTTAAATCAATGGATTATTTTTGATTCATGTCGAATATGTGATATTCCTAAAGAGGCTATGCTTGTATTTAAAGTTATTGAAGTAGATAAAGAAGTTAAAATTAAAAAAAATAATATCTACAAAGGAGAATGTAGAAATTGTCGTTTACCATTATACACAACTAAAGGAAAAGGATTTAATATGTTTTGTAGTTGTGGAATGGATTTGTCTCCAAATAGTATTAGTAGTGAAAATAATACAACAACAATTATTGGATGGACTGATATTTATTTATTTGATTATCGTAAATTAATGATTTCTGGAAATTATTCACAGGCTATTATGTTACCTCCTGTTATTCCTATTGGTATTCCTGTAACAGAATTTGGTAATTTAAATCAACTTAATGGAAAAATTCAATTTAAACTCCCAACTGGACCAACAATACAATTTGATAATTCAACAGTTGATATTACAAAAGAGTTAAATGAAAAATGTGAATTGAATGAAGAAGAACAAAAAAAGATTAATACTCTTATTGTAACAACTAATTTATTAAAAGAAATAGAAAAGGAAGATAAAGAATTGATATGGAGAGGAAGACAATTTATTCTTAATGAAGAGACTCTTCATCTTCATCCAAGTAGCATTGTTTTATTATGTCAAAGTGTTCCATGGGATAAACCAAAAGAGGTAAAGGTATTTGAACAACTTATTCAAAAATGGCCAAAAGTAAGTCATATCATTGCATTAAGATTACTTCATTTCTCATTTGCAAATAGTTTTATTAGACAATACGCTGTTAATTGTTTAGTTGAATGCAATGATGAACATCTCTCAACAATTATGATGCAACTAATTCAGTCTTTAAAATTTGAAGCAACACCATTGTCTGATCTTGCAATCTTCTTAATTCATAGAGCACTCAATAAACGTTCTACAATTGGTCGTATATTCTTTTGGTTAATCAAAAGTGAATTACATATCCCTGAAACACAGAGAAGGTTTGCATTACTTCTTGAAGCTTTTTTGATGGTATGTGGTGCTCAAAGAACAGTAATTAAAAATCAACTTGATTTATGTAAAAAATTAACTTCATTATATACTCAACAAAACCAAACATGGAAAAATGATATAAACCAACTAACAAAAGAATTAAATAATATCATATTACCTCAAATTACTTATGTTCCATTTAAATCTTCATTAAAATTTACTAAGATAGTTGCTGAAAATTGTAAAGTTTTAGATTCCTTGAGAAAACCATTATTTTTAACATTTAAGAATGAAGATCCAGAAGGTGATCCAATTTATATTATATTTAAAAAAGATGATGACCTTCGTCAGGATATGTTTGCATTAAAAGTCTTAGAAGTCATGAATCAAATGTGGCAGAATGAAGGATATGATATGAGACTAACATGTTATGAATGTCTTGCAATGGGTAATGCAGTTGGAATGATTGAAGTTGTATTACGGTCTGAAACGATTGCTGCTATTCAAAAGAAAATGTATGGAGGAAATGTTTCAGCTGCTTTTCAAGAAGATCCATTATATAAGTGGTTAAAAGATAAAAATGCAAGTGATGATGAATTTTTAAATGCACAACAAAATTTTATTTATTCATGTGCAGGATATTGTGTTGCTACTTATGTTCTTGGTGTAGGAGATAGACATAATGATAATATTCTTCTTACACCAACAGGACATCTTGTTCATATTGATTTTGGTCATATTTTAGGAAATGTTGAAAAGTTTAAAGGATTTAAACGAGAAACAGCTCCATTTGTTCTTACTAAAGAATTTGTATATGTTATGGGAGGAAAGAATTCTGAGGGATTTAAATTATTTGTGAATTTATGTTGTGATACATTCTTAATTTTACGAAAGAATTATCATGGATTAGTTAACTTATTTACTATGGTTTGTTTAATTATTTCAGTGTAACAATAAATAAAAAAAAA